ATTGCGACGCGCCGCCCCTTTTGGCGAGCTTTTGGCGACTTTTCCGGGACGCGCGATCGACCGGCCGAGAATCGACATGGCAGGCGAGGGCGTCACAGCCGTGATCGTGGCTGCCGACGCCGGCGCGCCGCCGGGCGACAACCCACTGGCGGACCGCCGCGAGGACCGGGAGAATTCCTAAGTGTCCTCAGAATTTACTTCTTTCCAGTTCGCCCCGCTCCTCCCCATCGTGCCGCTCACGCGGCCCGATGGGAGGAGCGGGGCGGACTACGGGGATCGGCTTCTTACACAGCCCTTCCCTGCAGCGAGCCCCCCTCCAACCCACCCGCGCTAGGTCTCGGGGGACGCAGGGGTCACTCCCGACGACCTCGGGAACTAGCCGGGGCAGTCGGAGAAGGGGCAACTCCGTGCACTGACGGTCGGCCGCCAGAAAACACGCCTGCGTGGATCGCGTCACACCAATCCTCGCTACCCAACGCGGCCAAAGGATATCCACCTCGAGCAAGGTGGCAGAGCGCGTGCACGAGCAGCTCGTCCGGAAGCTCGTCCACGGGCGCGGGCGCCTCGGCGGCGGTGATGCGGGTCTGCGAGCGCGTGCACGGCGACTTTTGCTGCCCGCGCGAACGGCTCGCGCTGGGGCGCGCGTTGGCGGAGATGGAGGAGAGGACCATGGGTGGCTACTGCTCGAAAATGCCGGTGCTTTGACCGCCAACTGCCAAAAGAATTAACCTGTTGCCTCTCGCACACGCACGATTCAGCCGCACCACACCCCTCTCCTTCCTTAAAATCCCTGTGTGGTGGCGGCGTGCCGTCCTCCCATATCCCTCCCTTGGCTTGTCCGTTTTGTTCCTTTCTTTCTGCACGATTCAGCCGCCCCGTGCGAGGTCGTCGTGACCTGCCCCTCGTCGCGCCTTGATCGCCTCCGCCCGCCGCCGGTCATCTTTTTGTCCGTCAGCCCTGTGCCAAAAGCGCCGCTCTTCCTTGTCGCTACCTTGTCGAGATGTCGACGGCCGCGCTGCTGGTGCTTGCCCTGCTCGACGCGCCGGCTCCTGCATGACGACGGCGCCTCTCGTCGCGTGCACAGGCGCCTCTCACTCCGCCGCTCGCGCCGCCAAGCGCGACGAGGCGTGCAGCGAACTGAGCAGCTAGCAGCAGCTAGCGCGAAGGTGTCTCAAAGTGGTCGTGTCTCGAAACGTGTCTCAAACTCGAATCGTCGATCGAATCTAAGTATCTAATTAATGTGTATTTCACACAACTTCTATTATTAGGAATTCCATGTTGGGATGTTAGAGGTGGGTTAAGAGGGAGATGCGCGGTGATTGCGACGCGCCGCCCCTTTTGGCGAGCTTTTGGCGACTTTTCCGGGACGCGCGATCGACCGGCCGAGAATCGACATGGCAGGCGAGGGCGTCACAGCCGTGATCGTGGCTGCCGACGCCGGCGCGCCGCCGGGCGACAACCCACTGGCGGACCGCCGCGAGGACCGGGAGAATTCCTAAGTGTCCTCAGAATTTACTTCTTTCCAGTTCGCCCCGCTCCTCCCCATCGTGCCGCTCACGCGGCCCGATGGGAGGAGCGGGGCGGACTACGGGGATCGGCTTCTTACACAGCCCTTCCCTGCAGCGAGCCCCCCTCCAACCCACCCGCGCTAGGTCTCGGGGGACGCAGGGGTCACTCCCGACGACCTCGGGAACTAGCCGGGGCAGTCGGAGAAGGGGCAACTCCGTGCACTGACGGTCGGCCGCCAGAAAACACGCCTGCGTGGATCGCGTCACACCAATCCTCGCTACCCAACGCGGCCAAAGGATATCCACCTCGAGCAAGGTGGCAGAGCGCGTGCACGAGCAGCTCGTCCGGAAGCTCGTCCACGGGCGCGGGCGCCTCGGCGGCGGTGATGCGGGTCTGCGAGCGCGTGCACGGCGACTTTTGCTGCCCGCGCGAACGGCTCGCGCTGGGGCGCGCGTTGGCGGAGATGGAGGAGAGGACCATGGGTGGCTACTGCTCGAAAATGCCGGTGCTTTGACCGCCAACTGCCAAAAGAATTAACCTGTCGCCTCTCGCACACGCACGATTTCAGCCGCA